CGCAACGTGCCGGATAAGCTGAGGAAGCTCGTTCTCGAGGCGGAACAGAAATGATTGAATTTTATCGTCTGATAAATCTGCCAGTCCAAAATTTTTAATAAATTTTAAGATCATAACTTCACTGTCTGTACTGTTTATTTAAGGGCGTATGTCAACAACACGATACAAAAAAAATTCTCCTCCGGCGTTACGATAAACTGTGAATTTTTTCGATTGTGAATAAAAATATGTACAGGAAGAACTTTTGAATGGATATTTAAAAACGACGATTGAAAAATAATAGAACAATAGTAAGCTCAAACATAACCTTTATGAGAAACAATTGAATCGAATAATAACATTCAAGTGTCTGCCTTTCTACAAATTTTGATTCGTGTTCCAACCTAAATATCAGATTAGTCGAGCAACGAGGCAATCAAGTTCATTAATAGCTGTTGAATACTAAGTCGCTGTAATCGGACCCTGCTTTAACGTTGATATTAATTGTGAGTAAGAGTTTTTAAATGAGAGGTTTTTTAAACTTAATAAAACATTTTCAAACAGATGGCCTGGATAGGTACAGCAATATCAGCCGTGAATGCGGTCGCCGGATTACTTGATCCTGTAGCAGCTATCGCAGGGCTCTTTACTGGGACCAGTGGAGCAAAAGAGGTGATAAAAGAAACGCTCGAATGTGTACAGCAAAATGTGACAACAGCCGTGATTGGATGTGTATGTGAGTGTGTTACAGGAATTGCCTTCGTTGGCAGCAACTTCGCAGACAAAGTGAATGTAATGAATGGGACGAACGTTATGCAAAACTTTATTTTCAGTTAATAATTGTTCAATGCCTTGAAGTTATTGCCGTTACCCCGAAAAAATGCTTTGCTCCGCGTACCTCTACATTCCTACTGCTTATATTAACCATGTTTTCAAAATTCTAATTAATTCAAAACTTTGCTAACAATGTTATTGCAATTCCAAAGACAAAACGACCTATCCGCATTAATTTTATGATTAGTATGATTGTTCTACTTTTCCCTACGCTCGTTCAAGTTACTCAATGTATTAATAAACAACAGCAGTTTCCATATAGAACTAATTTAGTAGAACATATGTATTTACTTAAAATAACCAAGTCTGGATAAATATTCAACAACTAA